AGAAAGGATAGGTCGTCTACGACTCTGTAGAACAGGGGTTGCCCTTCGAGCCCCTTGCGGGCGTACATCTCCATAATGAAGACTAACGCCGCATCAATTTGCTCGCCATTGGGGTGGTCTGAGTCTCGATATGACCATTTCCCCCAGTACTCCGGATTAATCTCAACCCAATCTTCTGGGATGGGAGTCCTTCCGCGCGTTCTGCGTGCTGACTCGCCCCCTGTCGTCCCTTGGCTTGTGCTTCTGTTTGTAGGGGCCGGCGTGTTTGATCTTGATGGGGATGTGTCAGATCCGCTTGTTGGTCGTGGTAGCAGCGCACTGTCGTCGCTCGCCGTGTTTGTCGGGGTCTGGGAGCTTCCCGCGGCCTCCAACCTCCTTGCGGCGAGCCTCGTCACCATCTGCTCTTGGTCTTCTGAATTGGCCGCCATGTTTCTTGTTGACGGTTTTCTCTTCCTGTGGCGTACCCTATCGTATAAGAGAGGTCTTCCGGTGGCCCTCTCTTCGTGTTCTCTCCTCAGACGTCTTCTTGGCTTTCTCCCGTGCCAACTGGGGCAACAGGCTCTTTCTTTGCCTTCGTAGCTCGGCGAGGATGTGTAGTCTGAAGAATTGGGTACCTCACACCCCTTTACGGGGTGAGCGTTGTGATGCTTCTGAATCCCTTCCTTCCTCGTCTCAACTCCGCCTGGCTCTTATTCCTTCGGAACAGCCGAGGGGTGGTGGGTGTAGGTGAGAAGGGGAAGCTTGACCTTGGAATCTCGAAGTCGGTCTTGATGATGGCGATATCGCCGTCGATCCCGGTAGCCTCCTCGGATTCGACCAAGAAATACGCCTGGAGCTACCGGCGGGGTCTGGTTCCTACCTGAACACCCTATTGCCTTGAAAGTTTGTTTCTGTGGTCCTGAGGTGCCTTTTTATATCCTCCAATTGGGCCTGTTTCGTCGTACGGTCGAGATCTGCGGTGGATTTGCCAATCTGGCGAATCTGGTGATTTCGCTTGTTTTCCTCTGTTGGCGTACGGGCCGCCCGTGGATTGTTGAGTAGGACAAATCGCGTGAGGGCGACGTAGGTAGCTTGGTCGCCTTCTCGCGATTCCTTCAATTGCGGTTTGTTTTTGACGTGATGGACGTCGACCTTTCGTGGGCAGTCAAGGGCTGCGATTCCTCTACTTCGTTCCGTCGTAGAGATTCGCGTCTTGTCGCCTGCTTTCCGTCGGGTAGGTAGCACGATTCTCCTGTCGCGTTCCGTTCGAGGAGGTCGTCTCTTCTGCTTGCGAGATGCCTTGCTGATCTGCGATAGTGGGATTTAACCACTGATCAGTGTTGGTATTCCTATCACAGGGATGGTTCGAACCGTGGGTGACGAAGAGGTCAAAATCTATATATATTTAACTTCTGCGTAAGGTGTAAAAAGGAGGTTCTAACCGGAGGTTGGGTAGACCGTAGATCTCGTAAGTATGGTCTGTAAGTGGCCCCTGCGCGGGCCCCTTGCCTCGAGGTCGAATTGGACTTCCAATCCGACACTTAGGGGCAATGCTTGCCGTCGAACCAGATGCCATTACTTCTTTTCTCGCGCCTTTGCGGTCAATCATCGACGCAAGGAGAGAGAAGCATCAATCATTGAAATTGTTTCACACGTCGTTCCGAGATTTTCTGCTAAGTGCAGGAGCAGGAGTCTTTCGCATCAACAGGGTGGCATGCCACAGGAGACTCGGTTTCGCCAGTTTAGAGCTGCTTCACAGTAGAGAGCCCCTGCGGGGGAACTGTTGTGACTTATCTCCGGGCACTGAATTGAGAGAAATACCGACACAGCTGATCAATGATCGCTTACCATCTCAAGTTCAATATGCTTGTCTCCACTGGGTCGGACATCTTACTCAAGCTCAGTACGCACTGCGAGCTGACGACCATGTCCACCAATTTCTCGAAGTTCACTTTCTCCACTGGATCGAGGCACTGGCTATTCTGGGATCTGCAACAAAATCCATACAATTCACCAATGCGTTACTGTCTCTCAAAATGGTATGCTCGATCTCGACTTCTCATTTGGGTAGACATTGACGTTCCTTGCTTAGGATGACGACTCCGGTTTACTTCGGGACCTGATACAAGACATCAAGAGCTTTTTAACGAGCCAAATTTTGTCTTTCGAAGCCTTTCCTCGTCAAGTCTACTTTTTTGCACTTCTCTTTGCTCCTAGCGGTAGTGTGGTCCGTAAGACATTCAAGAAGTGGATTCCGAAATTCATTACGACGCAGCCCGCTGTGGGCTCAAACTGGACATCACGACTGCATTCATTCCGTATCGCGGATAAGACGTCTACATATCTTTACTCGCTATGTTTTTCGCCTAACGAAAAGCTCCTGGCACTGGGACTATCGGATGGCGCAATCGTAATTCGCACAATTCTCACTGGTACCTTGTTGCAGGTCATACGTGCACATAAGGATGCTGTCATCGCTCTAGCTCTCTTCAGCGACTCAAGGCGGGTTGCATCTTCATCCATGTATTCATTGATGATCCATCTTGCGGAATCAGGCGAATTGATCGAGGAAACTGCTTCGATGGGACAAAAGCTCGTATCATTGGACATATCTCGATGCTCGGCCACGGTGGCTATCGCGTCCTGGGGTTTAGCTGTCGAACATGGGCTGATATCTCTTGAAGGGAAAGCTTTCAGGCTCCTCGGAACCATTGACGGCAAAGACTCGCTTCGTCCATCAATCACAGTGTCGCAAGATTCAAAGCTAGTGGCTGGGTCTGCCGGACGCTATATCAAAATCTGGTCGATTCATGGCGGCACGTGTCTCCAGGCACTGGGGGATTCTCACAATGTGCCATTGGTGTTATTCCTACCATCTGGAATCTTTTTGTCTCGAATTTGCGATGGAACCATCAGGTTCTGGTGCTGTAGTCAAAAGGCGTCTACACTCAGACCGTCAAGATGGACTCTCTTCCGTATATACACAGCGCTTTCTCGCCCGCATCAGGACTGGTAGCACTTTGTCAGAAACACCATCGTATTGAGATCCGGTCTTTCGAGTCGAACCAGACCTTCCGGGAAGTCTTCTACACAAGATACCTACACGATACGCGTGCGAACGAGCTTACTCTAGCACTGTCGCCAGATGGCAATTTCCTCGCTGTAGCAGACATCCAAATTGCTACATGTACTCTGTGGTCCGTCGAGCAACTCGAACGGCCAGCCACGAATGTGTGGGAGAAAGCCTCAACAACGTCAACAGACAGCGCCGTGGCGTGTCGTATCTTGCCTGAAGACCTCATCATTTCTCTACATTCCGAGGTCGGTGGCGCTGGTGAACATCTGCGTTTGTGGTTGGCCCCAAACTCCCGTCGCCCGACTCATTACATTGGTGCGACGTGGACCTTTTGTTCCAACGTCGGGGCATCACTGGCTAAACTGTCAGGCGATGGGAGGAGATTGGTCCAGCAACATAAGTCGGGGTTGCGATACTGGGTACGTGACGATGACGGACATTGGGGCTTGGGCACGAATCTCCCTCCGGATCACACAGCAGGAATGAGCTTTACAATTTCACTCGACTCCACATACCTGTTACTTAGCACTCGCTACAACAGTGAGGTTTGGTTCTTCTCGACTTATGGACTCTCTCGGGGCCAGGTCTTCGAGAATTGCTGCTCGCCGCATTCCCTGATGGATTCTGGCCATGTTGTTTCCTGTGACACGGATACATTTGGTCTGATAAGAGTTTCGACGCCCTCTGGCGACGAATCTGATGCAACATGCCCTCATGACAGGGGGGAAGGATCGATCAAAAGGCTCCTAGCTTCACCCAACTCGAGGTACATCGCTTCATCGACTGAAAATTCGCTCGCGATCACGATATGGGGTAGAAAGAAAAAAAGATTTCTGACGAGACGAGATGGCTCTTATAATAAAGTCTACACCTACATACCGGGAAATTAATTCATATCTTTCTCTCCCGACTCCAGAAGGCTCGCATGTCTTGATAAGCATGGTACGATTCGCATTTGGAGAACGTCTTCAGGGGCTTGTCTCAACGTCATCGCGACTGGCACCGGTACCGAGGAGGTCATCTTTCCCCAAGACAAGCGGTTATTATCGACGAACAAGGGGAAATTGAGATTGCTGAACTCGATTAAGCTCCCACTTTCAGAAGATTCGACGCCGGTTCTTAGATCAGGAAAGTGGCATGGCTTTACACTCGACTCAACGGGGACTTGGATTGCTTGGAACGGGCACCGACTCTTCTACCTACCCCCTCTTCTCACTCCAGCCCCCTTGACGCGTCAAGAAGGGCTGACGACATCGGTGAATGACTTCACATTGGCATGGGTAGATCAAACAGCTCGATTGCCGAACATGAAGTTCTTGCCAGGAACCCAGCCTTTTGACGCCCATGGGAAGTACATTGGGGGCTGATGGGATCGACTCATAAAGCTTGATTATTCACGCCATGGCGCGTTTCATGCAGTTTAATTTCTGGAGCCTGATAGAAGCAGCGAAGCGATGCAATGAATGCGGTCTCAATAGAATTTGGTTAGAACGAACCCTCAAGAGCCATTCCGAATTGGTATCATAACAAAAGACAATTCAACTTCTACGTACACGCAACTGATCCCACAAACCAATCAGCTTCCACTCAAATCTCAGAACAAAGAAAGCCAAAAGAATCATTTCTTTTCCGTACTCGCCGTCGTCTCCGAGTCAACATTTCCCGGAATCTTTCCCTCCAGCGTGCCCTCCGGTCCAGGCTGAAACTCCTCCTTGGCGACCGGGGGCCCGTGGAAGTTCTTTCTCGCGTAGGCAAAGTACCACGTAATGGCAATGAAGGCGAACCCGGCAAACACGACAGAGGCGTAGTTCATGGTCGAGGCGTCGACGGGCAAGCTGACAGGCATGCAGAAGATGATGACGGCGAAGCAGATCCAGACAATGCAGATGCAGTTAATGGCGGTGCCGAACTTGCCGAGCGGGTAGGGCGAGTTGGCGACGGCGCGGCGGCGCTGGATGAGGTTCACGAGGACGGGAACGCCGTAGCTGGTGGACAGGCAGATGGTGGCAACACCGGTAAAGGAGTTGAAGGCGGCGCTGGAGCCGAAGTAGATGCAGCCGAGGATCATGTCGACACCAGTAGACAGACCAAGGGCCCAGAGGGGCATGTCGAGCTTGTGGTTGACGCGGGCCCAGAGCTTGTAGCCGGGGATCGCACCGTCGCGGGCAAAGGCGTAGGTGCAGCGGGAGGCGGCGGTCAGGGCACCGATGCCGGCGAACATGAGAATGCCGAGGATGAGGAAGAGGAGACCGAAGCCGCCGGCGGCGGAGCCGGTGACGGTCTTGAAGAGGAGGCCAATAGGCTGGGAGTTTGCGACCTCGAGGAGCATGGTGACGTCGGGGAGGACGAAGAGGATGGGGATGAGGTAGATTACACCGGTGACGCCGGCGGCGGCGACGGAGAGGACGATGGCGCGGGGGACTTCGCGTTCGGGGTTCTGGACTTCCTCGCACATGGAGGCGACCATGCCGTAGCCGGTGAGGGTGTAGGCAGCTGAGAACAGAGTCAATTGGGTTGTTCCTTGTGGTAAAATTATTTGTGAACGTACCTTGGAGAAGACCAACGAAGAACGACCAGCCGGGAGCCCATCCACTCGCAGAGGCGTCGTAGTGGGTGAAGACGAACTCGGCAGATCTCTTGCTCGGGGCCATGACCAGGATGGTGATCATGATGATGAGGACGGAAGCACCAGTCCAATAGATACAGACCTAGTCGATACATCGTCAGCACGCTTGCTCCGGTCCTAATAAATCAGTTCAGGCGAAGCTTACCTTGTTGATCAGATCCAGGTACCGCGATCCAAACGCATTCACTCCAGCGCAAATCAACATGACAGCCCAGAAGCAAAGCACAGTCTGCCACTCATTGGCGACAAAGTCCTCGTTGAAAACACTAATCGCGCTGAGAATCAACTGCGCACCGCTGAAGTTGATACTCAGGGTGACAGTCCAGTTACCGACGAGCGTAAGCCACCCGTCGACGAAGCTGACGAGCGGCGCCCAACCGGCGGGTGCGAGCATGGCGGACCAGTAGTAGACGCCGCCAGCGGTCGGGTAGACGGCGCAGATCTCGGCGAGAGAGGCGGCGATGCAGAGGGAGATGATGGAGACGAGGACCCAGCCCCAGAGGACGGTGACGGCCTGGCCGTTGGTCAGGGTGATGTACATTGTGGTGCTGAGACCGAAGGGCACGGCCATGATAGCGAAGGAGAGGCCGAGAATGGACATCATGGACAGGTTGCGCGGGAGTTCGGCCTTGTAGCCCAGGCGGGCGAGGGCCTGGTCGGCGGAGACGCGGGGGGCCGCTTCCTCCATGTTTATGGTGTTAAGTCAGTGGTGATCGTGAGTATTCAGCTGAAGATATCGTGTGGTGTCAGTCCCCGGGTGGCGGAAGACTCAATCGAACCGTAGGGAGTCGATTGGAGTATGTAGACGTCGCTCAATGCTTTTGTTGGTGGTGGTTGTAGAACCCCGGATTCGGACAGCCTTGTTCGGTGACGTTTCTCGCCGGGGACGGGGTAGACGGACGAGTTTGCGGGGGAGGAGGATGGGTCAATGGAGGAGGGAGTATTAAACGAACGTAATGAAAATGTTGAAAATATTGGCACAGACACACACACACTACATGAGAAAAGGGTAGAACCGCGTCTTTTTGGCAGTGAAGAAAAAGACCGCGTGCGTTACATGGGAACCGAGGTGTGTGGTAAGAAAAGGGGACTAAGCCATTCTTTAGTAGCCCAGACTCTCTCCAATAATCTCCATCAGCTTTCTTACGGGCTAGGACTAAACCACGTTCAACACACGCAAGAAGAGTGGTCTCGGTCCAGGGTACAGACTAGACTAGTCTATCCGGCAGTCAGGCTTGAAGCAAGCCCGGCCCAGTGCCATCTACGGAGACGGGGCGAGTCACACACACATTCAAATGACACAGAAGCGCGGCTACGTCCAATGCGACAAGAAACGGACGGGAGGGCCTGGCTGCGGCCGGGGTGGTGGTAGGATAGCTGGTGAGGGGGGACCCCGGCCTGGGCATGGAGTTCTCTCGTTCAAGACGATGCGCTAATCTTTTGCTCCTCTTCACTTCCATTTGCCAATTGCCAAACTGCCAGTAAGAAAGCCGAGAGGGCCTGAAAGAGACAGACGAATTGTCCGCCTCCTCTTTTCCCCCACGCCCCGCAAGGACCTGACGGAAGTGAGGAGAGAAAGTGGAAACTCGCCGAGATGCACAGCTCACGATCAGTGGATCTCTCAGCTTGCCCAAGCCTCTTGGGCTGAAGCCGAGTTGTCTGGGCTATTTGTTGTCTTCGAATTCGTGGTTCTGTCTGTTCAAGGAATGTCCATTTCCAAGAACATACAACAGCGTCTAAACCCTAGTCTTGTCTCTCTGCCTATGGCATGAATTGATGCTTCACTATGATGATCGTCTTTATCTGCGTACCCACCGTCTAAAGTGGGAAACCCGATTGTGGCGCCTTGACAGACGGGGGCGGTTTTGGGTGCAGCCAGCCGGTAACGAGCCTCGAAGGGAGAACCCGGACAAGGGGACCACCCACCTCCGGGACCGCGATTATCTCTGGCAGGCTGGCAGCTCGGGGCGGCCTTCGATGATTGATTACGATGACAGGCCAGTTTGGTCCCTGGGGTGTGGTAAGCGTGTTCCCTAGCCTTGTGCGTGTCAAGCCACCACCACCACCACCACTTTGAGGCGCCGCTTTGTCCGTTGGTTCGTGCGTATCAGGACATAACCCAGACAGCACCAGGACACACCCATTTGTGATAGTCTCGCCTTGCCTGACGGCTGGGATGCTGAATCATGTTTAACCGCGGTGTGTAGACTCTGTGTATCAGTGACTTCGCCATCTCTATCTCCCACCTAGTGAGCCTCTCGTCAACTTCATCGTGAGGATGAAGATAACCGTCCGCGTTTGTCTGTTCGTGAAGAACCACTAGATTTCGGGCAACTCGGAGAAGCGTAGAGGGGGTTAAACACTCCTCCTATCGGGACCGCGGTGTTGGCGTCCTATGATCTATGAAACTCCGTCTTTCCACGTCCCAAGCCAGTCCGTCTTTCCCCAGGAATTGATCGGTTACAGGGAAACCATAGCCTACAGCGCGGTAAAACCATAAAGTAAGAGGAAAGGTCACCTCGCCAAAAAGGCTTGTTTCTCCAGCTCGTGTAGCTCGTGATGTCATTGCCCACCCTATCATGCACCTCTTCGCCCTCCTTCTGCTGGGTAGCCCATTGGAAGCGTTGGCTGCAATAGAACACTCGCTGCAACAGAACGAAGAGGCCGATCACTTTGGGGAAAAAGGGCTTGGCGGCGTCGATGGGTGCTTTGGATGGTACTGGGCTGAGGGAGCGCGCTGGAGATAGACGTGGCCCACGTGGTGCAGCGGTGCTCATGCATTTCGCGTACGCAGTAGAACGCCAGTAGTGAGGAGATGGAAGAGGGTGTCGTGCCACCCGCTATCTTGTCCTATCACGACCCTTACCGCGTTCACTTTCATCTCGTCGTCGTCGTCTTCAATCCCCCAAATCTTATCAGCTGGCTGTCGAACCATTGCCTGTGAAACGATGCCTCCCCCGGCATTAGAACGATGCCCTTTTTGGACAACGCAGGTCGGACTACCCGGGCACACGGTTTAGATTGCCATGGCTCCAGTGTTCTAATGTCGTCCTACCTGCCTGCGTACCATTGTCCCATACCAGTCTTGAAACACAAAGTACTCTCTCTATCCTTAGAAGCTCACCTTGGATTCCTCACGATGTTCGCCAACATCCACACCGGCCATGCTCCTTGACATGGAAATCCAGCCCCGCAAGATTGGGCTCACCCACAGCCCACAGGCCCCCCCTTCCCCCTCCCCGCTGACACATACAATCGCAGTGGAGAAATGGCTACCAGAATCCACTCGTCTCTCTGATAAGAGACGGCTCTTCTCGGAAGTGGGAATCTGGGTTTCGGAAGGGAGTGTGGTCATGAATGAAACAGCAGAAAAACCGCAACATCGCGAAAAACGTGATGGCGGTTCACGTCAAGAGCAAAAACATATAGTCGTAATAAGTGAGCTGACCAGTCAGCCTCTGTCCGTCCAACAACGAACCACTGCAACCACTTCGGTGCAGACTTGCAGACAAGAGCCCGGGTAGCTATCTCTGCATCCCGGAGCGACCGTTCATCATGCGCCCCTGACCACACCCACCAAAGATAACAGAGGCCCGACGTGGACGCGTAGGGGTCAACCCGTGCCCGTCCTGGGCGAGTGAAGCCTTATCAGTGGACTCGCTCTTCCCCCTTGCCAAGTGATGGATTGCGGACTGCGATGAACATGGCAAATGGGAACATTGGGAGAGGCCTCGAGAAATCGTCGGTCCGATTCTTGTGTCGGATTCAAAGCCATTGATTGCTTGATCTTTGACACCATGTTCGCTCTTTCTCTCTCTCTCTCTCATCGCTGGACAGACATATTCTGCATTGCGCACCCTTTCGCGAGTGCTGAAAATCTCTCCTGCAACATTGGTATTCTCTGTGGATCACTCCTTAGAATGAAGTGTCCAAGGCCATCTGAACCTCCTGTCTAAACTGTCCCAATCCCAATTCCAATGTCGGATCCTTTACAATGAATCGCATCCAAACAGGCAAACCCAAAAGCCCCAAAATGCCGGGCAAAAGCCGAGGTCCCGCACATCCAATTCACTAACGCTCAGCCCCCCCTGTTCCTATTCTTATCTTCTTATTTCGCTCGACTCTACGGATAATAACGGACAAGCCAGCTGCCAAAAAAGCCATCGGCACCTTCCGATACTTGTCAATGGTCCTAGCCTGAATCCGAGTCCCAAATCACCCGAAAACGCCAGGGCAAAAAGAATGTTCAAGAACGCTCCTAGATGTTCACGTCTCGATCCTTCACTTCACGGGCTACTTACGCGCTACTAAACTGTCGTTTCATCTAGAGCAATACCTTATTGGGGTTCCTGAACCACAATAAAAGTATCGCCTGCGGTGCAGCGCACGAAACATGACCCGCGATGTCGTCCACCCCGGAGCCGCCCGGGGTACAGTGGCCATTCACACCAGTCACATTGTATCACGAGTCCAATATGCCAAAATATAGTATCTTCATACCGACTGCACTGAGCCAGCTTTTCATTTCGACCCCGTACTAAGCACTGCTGTACTGTCTCGGCACCGATCGTCATCTGTAATACCTCTCAACGGCGCCATACCCTTCATCAAATTTGTTCGTACCAATGGCCGTATAAGAAAAAGAAACAAACCCCGTTTTCGAGCGCTTCTAGGTCCTATGCAGGACCGATCCATCAAATCGTATCCCTCCCAAACGCCTTGCGAAACTCGACCAAATAACATGAAAAAAAGAAGCCCATGCAACAAACATATTGCCGCCCCAATGCGCAATTCACACCCGTCTACAACGCCTGAGGCCCTTTTTTGCTTAGGATAGAACCTCTTTTTCCGCCGCCTCATCCACTAGTTTCCTCTGTTTCAATATTTTGACCAGTTCTGTCATGGTCACTGGTCGTGTCAAAAATAGATCCATTCCGCTCGCGAAACCCTCCTGCCGAGCGCCGGCCGATCCCAGACTCGTGATGGCAATAACCGTCACGGGTGGAAGGTTGTGTGCTCGTTCAAATTTCCGAATGCGCCTTGTAGCTTCGAGCCCGTCCATTACCGGCATTGTTATATCTATGAGTCGTTAGTCATGGCCGATATCTATCGCCTCCCACACCGATTCGTACCTATGAGAATGCAGCAAAACCTCTGCGGATTAGACGTATAGGTCTGGAGGGCCTCGAGGCCGTTGGAAGCAGTTGCATGCCTTTTTTGTAGCCTCTTCATGTATGCCGATAGAATCTGTGTCCGTTAGCCTCATTTCTCAGCGTCGTTTGTCATGGATGAACAAACCTTGAGATTGATAGGATTGTCGTCCACCAAAAGGAACTCCAGCGGGGACTTCACGGTTCCGGGAGAGGGGCTAATGCTGGAGTTCATACTGCCCCTGGCTGAAGCTGTTGAAGTAGCTGGCGCCGCTGCGGACGCGGCCGGGCGGAAGGGGAGCGTCAGAGTGAAGTTGGAATCGTTGGTATTGGCGATCCAGCTGTCTCCTGGTGACTGAGATACGATCTCAGGAGTAGGCGAGGCGACCCGCACCATTTTGACCGACTCGGATTGCGCTCGCGGCCTCGTCAAGAGGGCATCCGACTTCAGGGCGCGGGGCGACGGAACAGGTCCTGGAAAGGCATCCGACAGAGGACTGACGGGTATTGTCTTCGTAGGCTGTCTTTGCTTCCAGCGGTCAAGTGCACAAGCCAGAGCCTTTGCAACCTTTCTGGGACCAGTACTAAATAATAGTCAGCTCAAGCCACTTCGGAGAGAAGCAGACGACTTACGGCTGGGCTATAAACTCCATGACGGACTCGTGGCGAAGGGAGCGCCTGTATGAGGTTGCCAGCTTCTGGGCAGATTCGGCATTACCACAGACCACAACGAGCGGAGTTTCGACACCTCCAGTCTCCGAGAGACCCAGACGTCTAAACGCCTCCTCGCTGCAAACCATCAGATCCGTCTTGGACGAACTTCGACTGTCTTCGCTGAGCTTCAGATCCATCCACTTGAATGGCAAACTTTCCACAGGAAGATCCAGTCCACCGGCGCGAAGCTCTTCCGAATCTTCAAGTCCCCTACTGAAACCACAAACCGATAGTCGCGTTCCGGCCAAGGCATTCAAGTCGGCCGAGAATTTGCGTCCCCGACTGCTCGCTTTACGCGACAGCACTAGTGGCATCGATACCGTGATGCTTGTCCCGTGGCCGACCTGGCTCTTCACGCTGATAGTTCCACCGAGGCCTGCCACAATCTGTCTGACAAGGCTGAGACCCAAACCAGTACCTGGTGCGAGAGCGTCTTCCTGGGAGAATGGCGTAAACAGCTTGTTGTGTAGGAACTCTTCGGTGATGCCTTTGCCCGAGTCGGTTACGGTGAGTACAACCATCGACGCAGACCGAGATGTCTTGTGTACGACCTCCTCTTGCCTCAAGTGGACTTTGATAAATCCCTTGGCTGTGTACTTGAGGGCGTTTCCGAACAAGTTCATGACAATCCGACGAATAGCCCCCGGGTTCGTGTGGACCACCCACGCGCAATTGGGATCGATGTCGACCAGAATCTTGACGTCCTTGAGAGCGGCAGCGGGCGCATCTGATGGTTTCCGCCTGTGGCCCAGCCCATCGGACGTCGCAATGGCATCAAGCTTTTCTTGGGCCGGTGTGGGGGGGCCTGAAGATGAACCGTGGCGCGCTAAAGAGTTGGCGACCATATGGTGGAAGCTGTAACCGATGAACACACTCTCAATGACCTCTTCTACAAGCAAGTCAAGATGAACGTCGGAAACCAAGCTCATCATACCAGCTTCGATCGATGTCGATGCTTCCTGTCGCAGCCCGCGCCCTGGGCCGTTGTTCTTCCGCTGAGACTTGGAAGCTCGGAGATATGTGTTTACCTTGCTATAGTCAAGCAACTGTTACGGGTAAGTATGTCAACACAGACTTGGGAAAGGGTCATGGAAAACCTACATGGTCAATTGTGTCGAGAAGAGTCTTGCCCGAAATCTCAATGGTGTGGATGACGTCAACCTGGAAAGCATCCAACTGGGTATCGTGGAGAAGTTCTGCAGCGGCGACTACACCATGGAGCGGCGACCGAAGCTCGTGGCTAAGGGAGCCCAAAATGTCTGTCTTTGCCTTCTCCGCTAATACCGCATCCAGCCTGATGACCTCAGACATGGTGACCATACCGAACGCTCGCAAGAAAGGCAGGTCCGCTGCAGGCGTCAATATCCGAGTCGCACTCTTGCTCCACACGAAGCCTCCGGCAAAGCATCGTTCTTTTGAAGGATCCCACAGCGGCACAACGGCTACGCTCCTCGCGCCCGGAAAGATATCAATAATCGTCTTGGCCTCGTTCCGCCTCGTAAAGTAAGAATGAGCCGCTTTTTGTTCGGGGCGAGATGCGGGCAGATCGTGTTCTTCCGTAGGGGTAATGTCGGCATCGTCGCTCTCGTAGTCGGCGGACAACCATTGACCCGTCTCATCAAAGCTGAAAACCTTGCCGTTGGGGTATCGACGAAGCAATTTCCTGAGAAACTTTTCGCGCAAAGTTAAGCGGCCGAGTTGTGGTGCACTGACGCCATTGGCAATGTCGTCCATCGTCGACGACCTTCCAAAGCTCTTGCACCATTTGTCGTTGACGTCTTCGGACCTCTCGGAGAGACTGTCTTCGCTGCTGGAGAATGTATGATCTGCCACTTCACTAGCCCTCCGTGGACCGGTGACAAGGCCACCAAAAGAGCCGATGCTGGCATCTAGAAACAAGGCGCCGTCTACTTCGAGAGATTTCCGGATTACATTGGCCGCCCTCGAAAAAATCTTGATGGTTTCTGTCAAATGCGGGTCGGGTGGCGCCGTACTTGAGGTGGTGGTAGCAACTGTCGCGGTCGTGGCAGTTGTCTCAACCGAGTCGCTCGATTCGACCTTTGTTGAGGAATCGTTCGAGTCTGCCCTGATGGGATTGATGCCCGGGCGGACGGGCTCAGGGGACTCGGAAGATCTAGGTGACGGCGGGTCCGCATCGGGCAGCGATACCGCGAGCCTCGGAGGCTCGAATCCATTCAAAGACGCTCGAGGCGTGGTTCTCACAGTCGGCACCGGGTCGTCTCTTCCTTCGATGAAATTTCCTAGTCCTTGCACCATGCGCTCGCTCCGGCGGTAGCTCTCGTTTACTCTTCTGGCGTCGAGATATTCCATTACGGTGTGGGAGATTTCGCGCAAAAATTGCAACTCCTCCATGTCGAGGCCAGATCTCGGGGTATCGGAAAAGATACAGTACACGCCGATGTTGATGCCTTTGGGAGACCGAATGGGAACGCCGGCATAGAATCGGTTGTACGGCGCTGCGTCGATGTAAGGGCGGTTACAAAATCGTCGGTCAGCAGCAAGATCCGGAACTACAGACACGGGAAGTTCGTTATCATCAGTGATACGTGCTGTCGGATGGAGGCTGCTGGGCGCCGCGTGGGTAGCTCCAATCAAAACATGTTCGCAAATTCCAAAGTCGCGAGGGATGGCTGTCCCGCAGAGCCAAAGATGGTTTTGCTTTGTGTACTTGGTGTTTGGCGACAGGGGCATTGACCGAGTGGCCTCGGCGACGATATACTGATGCTGACGATCAAATAACGAGATCAGAGCGCGCGATGCGTTTAGTCGCAAGGCACCTAGCTGCGCAAAAGAAGTGAGGCCAGTATCTGGAGACGACGAGATGGATGAGAAGGGGATCGGTCGGTCGGGGCTGTTGAACACAGCATTGGGAATGTGGAAAGAATCATATCTAGAAAGTCGAGTTTGTCAGTTGTCGAACCGCCAGAGGCGTCATGCTCCAAAGCTTTACGGCGTAGGCACAGCTAGGAAAGATAAAGGGATACGCACTTGAATGTCTCCCATTCACGGGCACCTTCTGATATACTGTTCATACTTCATGCAGGTTGTTGGAGAGTGGGATGATGAAGGTGTCCCTGCCCATGATACAAGGAGTTTTGATGTCAGTTACGGCGACGACAAACGACGAGAAATGCTGTTTGTCGTTGTCAACAACGTAGCCGTAGTCCTTCGTCGTCAACAGGTCAAGGTAAGGTAAGCAAGGTCAGATCAAGTTCAGATCCAAGTACCCAAATCAAGGAGAAGAAGCATGCTTGCTTTCAAAGGTGAGGCGGCGGGCATGACTGAAATGCCGCCCCTCCCCGCTAAGGTGGAGCAGGGATCCCGGAAGCCGGGATGAGCATTGTTCGAGAGGGTTGGGGGGGGCCACGGCGCACTGCGCAGTAGCGAGAATACTTGAGGGTGACGGTAGTGCAGGCAGGGCCCAGGGCCAAGGCGGCGCATATCCTTGCCCTAGATGGGAAACCGGTTCTTTGGGCGGTTTGGAGATTGGCCATTGCAACCCATGGGAACCAGGGTTCCAGGCTTCTGCATCCTCCTCGAGGCGTTCTTCTAGAGTCCTTCCCCTGGCTCCCACAGGGCAACTGGAGACCTAGAGCCTGGAGGGCGTGCCGCGTGGGTGCATGTGTGTGTGTGTGAGTGTTGGCGGGCAGTTGGCGGTGGAATGTGGAATGGAGGGGCGTCCCTCGTTAGGCTCCGTTTTGCGTTGATGGGGGACCCTCGGAGATTCTGAGATGCGCTAGACTTTAGCGGCCGGCGAAGAAAGTGTGTAGTTTGTCTCTCTGCAGTAGAGGGGCAATAATTTGGCGACATTTGAGCCGGATTTCGCAGCCTCAGCTAAGGTAGCTAGAGGTCAACTTCAGATGCATGCCCAACCGGTGTGCGTGTGGCAATCTAGACTGCTGTTCGGTTGCATGTTTTAGGGGTCTACCTAGGCGACCTTAGCGCAATGGCACGCCACACGTGGATGGGAAAACCAATGGCGGTGGTGTGTTTCCGGTTTCCGCGTGTGTTCTAGATAGTATTTTGTGTGTGTCCCATCCGTTCGTTACACTAAGGTCTCAGACCACCCGTAGGAAGTCTACTGGGTAGAGATGGTGGTGGTGGTGGTTAGGTCGAGAAAACTGTTTTGCAAGTTGACGCCTGAAGAGAGATCGGAGGCTAACGAGGCGAGATGGTGGGACGGCGCAGATGGTTTTGGGATGGTGGCGGCGGCCAGACCGACCCTAGATCCTTTGTCCTTTGTTGGAAGACAATAGGAAATCGGGTCGGGAGAGACAGAGTTGAGCAGAGGGACCTGAGGGGCGCCTGTAACGATGATGGGCAAAGTGTAATCGTCTGGTCTGCGAGCTGGACTGGAGTATTCGTATACTATTACGCTATTGACTGGCTGGTTGGATTCGGGATTTCCAGTGTCGTGTGCCATGCAACACTGACGACGGGCCGATGGACTGATGTCTGAGTCTTGACTGTCATTGACCAACGGAGAATGGATGGACGTTGCCTTGGCTATTGTTGCCAGGAAGCTCCCCTCGGTCACCGCTCAACACTATTCATTCTTGTCTTGATCGGCATCCTCCTCGTCCATATTGTTGGCACCCTCGCTCACAGTCTCGTGGACAGACCTCGCCCATTTGCTCGTGAGCAGCAAACCGAGACAGAGGAAGGCCAACCACAGCAAGGAAAATCGATGACGGGACTGGCTCCGGAATCCTTGAGAACTTAGGCTGGCCCTGGCCCCCACACGTCCAGACCTCTTTGAGAGTCGAGACTCAAGCCAATCCTCCCTCTTGCCCTTGTCCAAAATCGATGAGTGGAGGAAATGGAATGGGCAGCTCGATCACCGACAAAAATTCGGAGAGGGCAGACCGATGAACCATAGCCCTGGGAGATTTCGGGAGGGCCACCAGGTGAGCGGTGAGGGACCAACAATTGGTATTTTGCTGCACGGCATGCGACGAGATCTGCACAGCAAAAAAGGGATGGTGGACTCTGGAGACTGGAGGCATGGGCAGAATGGACAAGACACTGTGAAGATACAGCAGAAGTGAGAATTGTGCGTGGTATCGTGGACAGGAGACAGGTACGTACAGTGTGAGATGCGGATCCGCCCTGGAGCTCGCGACTTAGTACGTACTCGGGTGCCGGGGAAAGAGAAAGGGCGGAAGAGTGGGGCGGCAAGATGGTTTGCAAGGGACTCGAACCCAAACAAGGGAAAGAGCGGGGCTCCGAGTCAATGGCCCTGCTGCTTCTCAACTTGCTGCTCTCCGATTTCCAAGTTTCCAACCGGCAGCTGCCCCGCTTAGCCCCGCAAGTATGCTGTAATCCCGTACTGTGCACGTGAATGCGCACACACAGTCAGGCAGGCACCTTGAAGGCTACTCGGTACGTACTCAAACACTCCAGTTTCTCCGGACCTCCTATGCATCTTCCAAGTTCCAATCGCAGCTCTGACACGCCCTTCATTTTATCACGGACAAATCATGGCCTCACATGTTTGACGACCATCCTTCGAGGGGCCCATCAGTCTTCGGTTTGAGAGTCGAAGAACACTGTCCAACTGTCCAACACGTAATCGACCTTGGCTTCGTATCCTTCTATCCCACCCCAGCAGCAACAGTCTGGTCTCTACCATCAACTCGAGACTTGACCTGGAGTCAACCTGAGCCAGCTGGCTCAGACGACCTCCACCCTCATCCGTTCCCTTTGCGTCGCCCCAATCATGCGCACTCCACAATTCAGCAGATAATGAGACGATGAAATCCAATCCTACATCAGCCGAAACCATCGTCATCCCGTGTCCTGGCCACCAACCCATCCTCCGCTTCAGCCTTTCCCGCAAAAAGCAATGTCAGCATTAGCAGCAACCCAAGTGTGCCAGGCATGAAAGGGAGTGGGCATCCGCCGGTCCTTGGAGATTTCGAAAACCCCTCGTTATTGAAAGAGAATCGGAACCGTATGCCCTGCTTCTACAGCTCTGCTAAACGGTTGGGCAGCTTACCACCGACAGCAACTAGAAACCCCCGTCCTGGACCCTGATTCAGCCCCTGGCCCGTCGGTCATCCCTGCGGCGAGCATCCCGTTGCCGTTGCCGGGGCTTTCAACACCCAAAACCTCTCAATCCTACCCTTTGGCCCCTGGCAGTCACGTACCAAGCAAAACCCCGAAGGACCCCGATCGGTCACCCGGGTCGGCCATGCCACTACATCGAGCCTCGAATGTGACATCGACTATATTGGATCGCTCTGTGTCTGGTGTTTTGGCCGGGGGTCAAGACAACGACAGAGATCTGCACGCCAAAACAACCAAAAACCGTTGCAAAAAAGAATCTTCTGGCACAATCTGTCAAATGCTCGCAGGGTGGCTGCCTTTGACGCCGTTTACACGCCATCCGGACCGACATATTGGACGCTAAAACTAGCTAAATGTGTTTTGGCACATGGTACGGATAATGGTGCCAAGTTTCACATCCATATTGACTAGCACGCCCTGAGCCCTACGACCAGACGCAGAGTCCCAGCTTTGTTCGGATACAAACAAAGTGTGGGCGATATTCACGTCACGACGTCGTGTACGACTCAGTCAACCCCGTTCTGCATGACATCGAATTTCCATCTCCAAGGACCACAGCATCCAAAGCAGGTTAACAGTCCGAAGACGTTGGGGCTTAGAGAAAAAATCATAAGCCTCTCCGATTAAAAGGCTATTCTAGGCATGGTCAACCAGCTTCATCCCGCTGATGACGCCCTCAAACCCACTGCCTCCGACTGTTGCTAACGGTGCCTCCACCGCAATCGGCTGCCACACGAACCGGGCTCCGTTCCAGCCCATTATTGTCAAAAACTCCTTGGGCTCGCCATCCCCAACGTCTAGGAACGTCTGCCTGCCCCTGCCAATGAGGCTCGCATTCGTCCACGACCCCACGGGGAACGTGTAGTTGAGCGCGTACGTGCTCTCCCCTGAAAAGAGCATGACAGCGTCCACAGTCCCATTGCCAAACCACAAACCGCTGTCTCCACCGCTGAAGATGGCCCCCTTGGCGTCCGACGTGGGCTTGATCGAGAATGAAAGAGTGTAATTCCTCCCTTTTTGCGTCAGCGGAGTGGTGATACTACACGAAGACGCCAGAATGGCACCCTCGTCGCTCGTTGCGCACGTCGAGGTTGCATGGTAGTTGTTGCCCGACAAATCTTCAACCGCCGTTCCATTGCTACCTCGTCCCTGCTTGAAGTCGTATTCAACGATCGTCGATCCCGTGGACACGATTCTCCGATCAAGGTTCTGCCCCGGGGCAAGAGGCTGCAACGCAGAGAACAGGCCTTGGTAGTCAGCCTCAGCAACCTCGCCTCCCCACTGCTTATCCGCGAGAGCAGGCAGGCCATCCCTCCATTGGTAGTATCCCTCCGTCACCGTCGTTGCATTCGGGCCAAAATCGTTCCATTGCGGCGCAATGTGGCCCAGCAACGATGTACTGTCCCTTGCGGCGTTGTTTGATGCATTGGTGCGATCGAAGATATTTGGCGAAAATGGCGATCCATCGGGCGAGCCGTTGAAGATGAACTCCAAGCTGAGCTCGTGCTTTTTGCCAGGTCAGTTTGGTTATCACCTTGACACAGGTCAACTTGGTCTGTTTACTTACACCATACCACTCGCTCCACTTTCCAACCGTGTAGATGTAGTCACCTGAGTTGAGCACCTCGTAGCCGTTGTTGACAAAGTCGTAGAGCGGATTCGCCTCAAAGTTGGCCCAGTGCTGGATCGAAACGGACTTGTTGACGGTTCCGCCCACTGATGGCGCAAAGGTTCCCCAGATTCTGACCTTCTTGCCGGACGTGCCTGTAATGTACTCGTTCATCTCGTCCACAAACCGTGTGTACTCGGCAACCAGGGCGCTAGCTGATGAGCTCATACTATGATACCGCCAGTTTCAGGGATTGGGTTTGACTTACTCTTCACTCAGCGTCGGGTCGACGTACTCATCGGCACCGATTGAGACCGTCTTGGTATGGAACCAGGGTAGAAAGATCTCCCAAATCTTCTTCACCATTGGGATCGTCTCCGGGTTCGAAATGTTCAGCAAGCTCAAGTCGCTCGACAACCCCAGCTCTGGCTTCCACTGCGAAATCACGAGGGCGTGTCCGGGAGCCTCAATCTCCGGGAGGATCGTCACGCCGCGCGCTGCGCACTTTGCCTGGACATCGTCAAAGACTGAGCGGGTGTAGCTCTCGTTTGCGCGCCGGTTGAGGCCCTCGAGGGCCGGATCGTCGGAGTTCAGCCGGAAGGCGGCGTAGAGTGAGAGCATGCGCTCGCGTGAGTAGATGGCAACATTATTGTAGAGATTATCCGAGAGGTGCAGCTGGAAGGTGTTTTGCTTGAAGAAGGACATGTAGGCGCACATTTCAATGAGGAACTCAGGTGGGTAGTAGTGTCGGGCGATGTCGAGCTAATGTGTTGGTCAGGCAGTCAGCATGCGATCCATTGGCTCGTGTATCCGGCCGGGGGTCATTGATGGGCTCCGGCTCGGGAGGAAGCATTATCTCACCATCAGACCCCGGGTTCCCCATCCGGGGCTATCTGTGCCGTATCCCAACTTCAGCCCCCCGTCCCCGAGAACGAGCTGCTGTAGGACCGTCCGGGTACCCCACCACACTCCGAGCGGGCTCGCGCCCGTGATGAGTACGCCGTCGATTGTCACATTCAGAGAGTATCCCTCGGATGTCTCGCGCCCGGCAGCGTCTTTGTAGAGGCTTGCGTCATCTGCCAGCGTCAAAAAGATGGACCCTTGCTCCGGGGCGTCGCCCAGCTGGATCGGGATGTCGAGACCCAGCGACGAGGCGAGGTCTTCTGCAAAGGTTGTTGCGAAGGCGTGCAGGGTCGGCGGGATGAGAGTTTGGCCTGCCTCGTCGACGGACTCTGCGTAGGCGGAAGAGACTATGATCTTGGAGAGGGAGGAGGAGGGGATGGTCCCGCCGGTCGAGGTGTACGGTGTTGTTGGCAGGCCTGGGAGGAAGTCTGCTGTCGCTGTGGCCGCAAGGGAGACGAGGGCGGTAATGAAAAACCGCATCGTGAGGGTTGGCGTCTTGAGATCACGATGTTTGGGTTGGGGTGCGATTCATGTCGCCAATTGCAGGAATGGAGCATCTATAAGTACGGTAGAATACGTTCAATCTATTACAATTCGATCTTATCATTCAAGCATCATAGGTGTGACGCGACGGGACGTGACCTCGGCGCGCGGGGGTTCGGAGCCGGATGGGATGTTTGGTGAGGGGAACCCAGCTTGTGCGCGAACCATGGTGGCATAACTTTGTGATGAGAGCTGTGCGGTTGTAGAAGGTAGTAGCCGGATCTACGTGGATTGAGGTTTACCCCTCCAATGATGTTTCCATCACTCTGAGATACGAGAGAGCTCGTCGTGGTATGAGTGGGACTTGGTTGCTGGCGACGCGCCCGAGAGTTACGAGGCTAGCCTGATGCTGCGTACAATTCCGTTGATACTGGAGGGAAACGGCAGGAAATGCGCACCACCAGCCTGGCTTCGCAGTGTACCATAACTACCATTAGGTTTGTGCTTGGTGTAATGGCAACGTTGCAATCAACCGTTTCCCTCTGTAGTTCATCCCCCATGAATGTCCCAATCTCTCAGCCAATGTGCCAATCTCCCCGCGCTTAATCAAGTGGGGATCGGGAGCGTAAATTGCTACTGCGGAGTCGTCGTTCCGATGCTCCGTTGGACGGCGGCGGGGAAGGCGGACAGGGGCCGGGCCGGGGGTTCATCACTGAGGACGACGTTGCGTGGTATTTGAATTGTTTAAACCCAGCCTTCTGTACCGTTGCAAGCGATTAAAAGAAAGTCAAGATTTGTGCCTGGAGAGAGTGTTATCCGACTTTACGCCACATTGAGCTCAAGCGATTTCAGCTGTGCTGGTCAGGTCTTCGAAATAGTCACTAAATTATTGAGTGTGAAGGGAAGTGGGCATGTAACAAATATCGAACGAGTTTTAGCCTCATAATTCACTTTCGTACCGATAAGTGATCAGGTCTTTCCCATCAACCAGACAGATCGCCTCGATTGTTCATGATAGAGGCATGTTCAGCAGGACGATGAGCCAGACCTCTGACGTGCCTGCGGCTTCACTTTACGTCAGTGTCACACCAAGCATCTTCAAGTTAACGTGATCACACTTTGCACGTCAAGAAACATGGACTAGATTGGGCATCTATTAGAAGCAGAGTATAATGGTAAATGCCGCCCTGGATTACGATCGATAAAGCAAGCCACTCTATAAGCCGGCTACGTAGAAATATAATACAAATACACAAAGTCACGTGTCGGGCAAGTAAGGCCCTGATAATTGATGCTATCACGACCCCACACAAAAAAGAGTTTACCCCAGGTGGGGCTACTTCTCTTGGTGCTCATGCTGGGAATCGAACTCGAACTCGTAGCCTGTCGTCGAGTAGGCTCTGGGCGTAATTTATTGTTGGCCATAGACCACTCCACCACCTAGCCAGTTTGACCTGACCCGTCGACCTAGACAGGCGCCTCCTGGCTGGTGACGGGAATGGACTTGGAAGGCCCTTTATAGCCTTGCACCCGGCCATCTCTCCTTCCCTACTGGCCATCGAATGGTCTTGCAAAGTCGTACGGATGCATATTCACGCATTGCCCAACATTTGGATCCGCCCTGCAACACCTGTTCAGCAACCTTTTGGAATTTGGGCCTTCCCAGCAAAGATTTGAGCCCGGTTGGAAGTAACTCACGAGTATTCCCAGTTCCAATACTTCTTCCGACCACCTCGCGCGCAGCCTGCCTCATTTTTCATGCCGTCGTAGCATTCCTCTATATCAATGTCGCGTTTGTCTCCGTTCCCGACGTACTATGGTATTGTTAGCAATTGAATCGCGCCAGATGAACTACCCTTCGGCATCATAACAAGGTGAATGCCGGAAAAAAGAATCATGGTAAATCCTTACTTACCGAAAGCTCAAAGTCCCACTTTCTGCCCTTCGTGTCCATGATGCAGATTCTGCGGAACTCATTCTTTACGTAGCTGCCCGATAACTGAGCGCACACGATTCTAAGGTCGACGGGTGCGTTATTATTGACGTCGTATTCACCTGTTATGCCGTCCTTGAAGCATTCGGCGGATACCGTTGGGACGAAGGCGATGATGGCTGCAATAAGCAGGGACTGTATGGACTTCATAGCGGGCGATGAGGAAACGACTAAGTGAGTGGTTGAATTATCAAGGCGGTTTGGGGAAGCGGAAAGAGTTAGTGATTGAAAAGGAGACGATATTCGGTCTGAAGTAAATGTGGGCAATGCAAGTCATTTCGCATCTTTATATCAGAGATGAATAGACCTTCACCTGTCTAAGGTAGGTACTTGAGAATGGGCTCGAAACGGGTTTCGCTTAGACTTCGACATCTTGTGATGCCTCAAATGCTTTAGTGTCGAATTGCAAGGGAACTTAGGAAAGCCCCAAACTCAGGATGGTACAACAGCAATCAGCGCTGGGCGGATGGATTCTTTTACACACGGATAGCAAGGGGCTCGGGTGTTAAAAGATGTTCGCCACTATTGTGTGACACACCTACACAGTAGATCTGACAAGAACTTCGTACTCCGTCCGGCTTCCTTCAATGTTGTCTCAATTGGGTGAGTTGACCACATCGGGGCCACCCTAGGGAAACTTTCCCTCCCGAGATAGGTTTCTTTGCGCTTTGCTTGGGACCTCGGCGACAAGATCCTCGGATGACGCCAAGATCACGCACGTTGATGTGCCACAAAATTTTCCCTGCGATTTGCTCCGCGTAATACGGTTTTGGCACTGAGCGCCATACATGGGAGCTGTATGTGCATGTGTCCGTTCGGGATTTCTCCCTTATCTCTCCTACCCACACGACTCGGCCCTTATTTTCTTTGCTCTTCCAAGTTTGGAGGCTGAAGGAGAATTTCCAGAAGCGGAGCTTTCAATTTAGTTGCCTCAATCTGTACGTTTCTACATTAATGATATAAGCCCGCTCAATTGAAACCAGATCTTTCAGTCCGAGAAACAGAAGCAGCCGACCTCGATTTCATATTAAGCTTTCATTCAGGTGTAATGCATCTCTAGTCTCTTCAGCACTAGGAGAAAACTACTGCTTATGACCTCAAGATGAACCTGTATCAATTTTCGAAGTTCCTTTTTCTCGTTGCATTCATTGGCCATGGAGAGACAGCACCCGCCAAAGCCGAGTTTCGAGGCCCTAAGCCCTACGTTGGCTCCAGATTGGACCCTTACAGAACCACGCTGCCAATCAACCGGACTCTACTTGCGGGAAGCTTGAGAAAATTTGAGATCTCGACGGGTACTAGAGACTCAATCTCTCCTCGACCTCAAGAATCGCTCAAAAAACGAGTCGAGGTTTCCGTAGCTGGGAACCCCACCATAAGGTCGGGTGCAGACGCCGACGAAGTTAACGAGGACAAGCCGAGAATTCACTCTAGGTGAGTCCATTTCTCGGAAATTCGATTAATGATGATGAAGAGGCACTGATAGATGCTAGGACACTTCCACCCTCTTCCAGGAGTCTCCAGGGCAGATCAAAACTTGGAGCATTTCCCTGGGCAGGTCTTAACCCCCAAGGCACATACCCATGGACCAGAACAACCATATGCATGGCGATCTGCGAGAGAAATACATATCACATGCGAAATGCCCTGAAGGGAAAGGGGAGATGGCAAGCGTGAGTCGAAACTCTCGAGTTCTGGACCTGGTTGCCCCGACACTCTCTAGAACATCATGGTTCCCCTAGCTGATTCAACTCGCGACTTAGATGCATACTCAAGTGCAAGTCTGACGGTTCTATGACTGATATCACTGGCGAGATCTACAAGTTGAGCTTCGAGGAAGACTTTGCTCCATTGAGCTACTATAAGGGGTATCTCGATCATATCTCGGACAAAGCTGGCGTGGTGGAACCCACGAACTGGTTCCTGGATTGGAGACCCGCGTATTGAGCTGGACGTCCACCTGGATGATGTGTGATAACGCTTTGACTTTCCACATTAATGTTACCTGCCTGTCAAAGGTACACTGGCTCACTCATATTTGAGGGGCCTTACTGTAGAATTACTTTGTGCTGGACATTTGATATAGAATCAAGTCGGCAATAGCTTGGTAGAATGTTTGTGTTTCATTACCAGGAGTCTCAAGTGAAGTAGTAGGGACAATGGAGTTCCGTGCCCATCGTGCCCGTTCAAGCAGGGTCATACACTCGATCAAAAATTAAAATATGTCACAGTACCCATGCCACTACTTGGAGATTGACCTTGTCCGGTTACCACATCCCCAAGTTGATGTCGTTTCCGATTTAGATCAGGGGAGCTGAGACATAAACCCACATCGCTCCTTGCTCATAAGCCGGCATGCCACCCTGAACGGTGTTGTCGGATCTCCAGCAGCGATCCATGATGCGTCCAGCAGTACGGGCAACATTGTTACTGGGAAGTGCAGGGTATTAGCTTCATGTGATGCTCATGCGAGTCTGGAGGGGCGAGTCCGGCATACCAGTGCGTGCTCACTTCTCCGGCACCACTGCCGCTTCCAACAATCTGCGCATTACCAGCCGTACACATTGCCGTGACAGTCACAGTACCACAGTTGGCATTGAGATCGGCAAGGTAATTGATACACGTCACGGCATCAGGTGCCTGCGTAGTGCTGTTAGCGAAGCCTTCTTACTTAGGGAGGGCCATTGAGTTTTGCTGTTTGCTTACCCATGCGGAAGGCTTGCCATCGTTGCATACGAGAAACTGCTCCTGTCTCTTTTCAAGTGAGCCATCTAACACAATGTCCTTATTAGCAGATCTGCAATCAGTTCAACTTCAAGCAACTGGGGACTGATGAAGAATATCAGAGACTGACCCAGATCGGCAGCGACGGATTTAGCCGCGGCTTCAAGGGCCTCATCGACGGATAGAGCACTATCAGGGTTGGCAATGATAGTCTCGACCCATTGTTCCCAGGACCAGTCACCGACCGCAACGGTATCTCGAGAGCTTGCAAGAGGAGCAGGAGACGCAGCTGTGATAGCCACCAGGAAGAACAAAGTGATGGAAGACAGGGTGACTCGGGCCATTGCTGAAGACTTGTCTGAAAGCGGAGTCTCGAAATCTGTGCGCGAAGGAGGTTAGATGATATCTCGAGGGAGGAAGTGTACGAGTTTGTATAGTAATACCAAGCTTCATGATTGATTGCCAAAACGTCAGAGGATCTGATTCTTGATGATAGAATCTTCCGTCTTAGCTCCTGCCTCCTCACCATACCTATGATGTTGACATTGGCACAACAGTTCAGTGCAGCATCGCTGTAGCGGCTGTTACCCTTTTGCAATTGAATGTAAGTAAGCTTACATCTCCACACAGTTTACTGTGCCATGGACTTGCCTAAACGAGGCTGCGAGACTGATCCGGAGAACCCACATGCGTTCTCTTCTAGCGACCTTCTTTCTTATGCGTCAAATATCTATGTGATCGGTCGGCTGCGAAGAATGATCGGCACATCAGTCTAGGAGTTGAAGCCAAGAACCATCGTACCAAAGTCCCATCGTTTACCTCTTAGCTCCAGCTGGCAGACAGACATTTTACCGGCGGCATGCAAGCATTGGGAATGGTAGCATCCGCTGTGACGCTGGCTGGACACGAGAGTGAGAACTCACAGGCAGTCTGTGGCCTCAATGTCCCGAATCTTAGGAGGCCCCGTTGCAGCTGCCCAAGTCAGCAGTGAAACTTGAACAAGCCGGAAATTTCGAGATCAATGTATGGCCAGGTCGTTCAGTGATAACAAGTTGAAGTAGGGTGGGTTCTTAATGGAACGATTTGGCTTTTACTCGCCGTTCTATCTTCTTTCTTTTAGGGTCTGATTATTTAGGCCAGTCAAAGTGAAATCTGCATAGATTAGACTTGGACAAATGCCGAGCCTCGGCCCAACCACGCCCTTCAGGATGACAGAAGGGCCGTTGTTAGTAAGGTAAAGACGCCGAGAGGAGACGTGTGTGCCAAGACTCGTTACGCTTTCCATTCCCTACCTAAGCATGGAGGAGTGCAACTAACTGTAACCAAGCTTAATTGGACTTTGGAAAATCCACAAATAATCTTTGCAGTGTTGCATTCGACTTCCGTGCCGAAAGGCTGCAGAACCCAGTAGCATCGCTCATTGTTACTGGCGAATTGCTGAGGGAACAGAGATCAGTTCATGAATTGGTTTTCCTTGCTGTCCCCTGAAAGACGGAAGTATCTATATATCTCTCTTTTATTACATCGCGCTGTTTCTTTTCTGAGTTTGAACGCCCGGTGCCTAGCTACTACACGGAAGGAGAAAGGCGGGGGATTGCAATACATGTGAGTTTTGAAGCGGAAGTAATCACCGCGCCGGATTCCCTGAGCGAACTTTGACGTTGAGAGTGAATAAATAGACCAGCTAGTCAGGCACTACTAGTGACTCAATAGGCCAACAGCTTCATTGCCAGCCAGCCTCCTTTTCAAGTCTGGAGAGAATATCGTGGTATGACGCGGCAAAATAGCCAGGTGATGAAACCGAGGGAATCTGTTCATAGCTTAGTACAAAGGCTTAACCGACCCGAACATCATCTGCTCCGGAAACGCTGCGCCGAAGTTGCGCGTGTCTGGCGTATTTGGTATCCATGTCTTGCCCGCGACCGGGCCGGTCGCCCCACTTCGCGCCGAAGCTGTCGTGCTTTGAAGGATTTACATCCGTGACCCCCTGAGTCATCGTCAGAAGCTCATACTTATAGTTTAAAACTCGTTGCGAACATTGATATCGTCTTTAACATTGTTAAAATCTTGTCAATAGGTTCTCTTCTATCAATACAGACCTGCCGAAATCATGGACCCTCCCGTTGGACCTCTTGTAGCCTCCGCCGATCCAGCAACGGCCCCGTCCCATACCCCGCTCCACGGCCGATACACCTCCCTGGTCCCGTTGCAACCATCGCATGCGCAGGCCATCTTCAAGCATCTCGGCCGGGAAGAAAATGCTTGGCGTTGGATATACCTCTTCAATGAACCTTTTCTCGAGTTCGGACAATGCGAGGCCGCGTTCAAGGAGTGGAGCGTTTCCAAAGACCCATTGTACTTCACTATATTATCTGGCCCGGCATCGGATCCATCATCCGAGCCAGTGGGTGTGATGGCGTACCTCTCCATTGTTCCGACCCACAGACGCATTGAAATCGGATGCATCATCTTCAGTGAGCAACTTAAGCAGACGCGTGCTGCCACCGAGGCCCAGTACCTTCTCATGAAGAATGCTTTCGATTGCCTGGGTAACTACAGGCTCGAATGGAAAGCGAATCATTTGAACACGCCGAGCCTCGCAGCTGCTGAGAGGTTAGGGTATACGTATGAAGGCATTTTCAGGTAAGACATCTATGGAGCTCATTCTCGGTCGGCAACTGACAATTATCAGAAAACACATGGTTGTCAAGGGGAGGCGCAGAGATACAGCTTGGCTCAGCATCACAGATGATGAGTGGCCAGTTATCAAGGGTGGCTTGGAAGCGTGGTTGGGCGAGGAAAACTTTGATGAGGATGGTAAACAACGCAAAGGCCTGAAGCAGTGCCGAGAAGAATTGAAGGCATGAAGCAATGTCTTCAAGACGGCCTTTCAGCTGAGTTCTTTGGAGCTCTAGTCAGGGTGAAGGAGACGAAGTGGCAAGAGCAAGTCTCCGTAGCAACGGTGAACATTTATTAGCCGCAAACGAGTCATAACGTTGGCAAGGTTTCCGGCGCAACCCATGCTGGTCAAAAACTGCACCGGATATGCAATTGCTTTTCTAGCCAAATGAATAGCTTGCTGCTACTACGAGCGAAGGATTTGACGGAAATGTGTCATATCTCCAACTTCCCCAGTCTTGGCCTTAGCGATCCTGCATATCCCCCGCAGTTGGATTGGAGCTTAATAGGACAAGATCAGTGCTTCGGGATTTTAGGCTAATACCACAAATCCCCGAGTAAGGCCTCATACGGTGCCGGTCTCTCGGAAAAGCGCCGCACATTCCCCCGTGGTCTCGTAAACGGCTGTCGACTACGGCTGAGATCTCTTCTCGGTGTGGAAATCGACACAAGACGATGGAGGTTTTCCTTCGGTGCTGCGGGGTTGACTGGAGTCTTGGGGCACCCTAAAGTTTAATAAGGTGGTGAAAGCCAGCTTGGAACCACCTGTCAAAGGGGCCAGTAGCTTGGATGTTACTCAGGAGTCAGTGATCTCACGATGAGATTCGGACTTCTAACATTAGCCCTCTCCGGGTTTGGCCGGGCTCAAAATTCAACCTTCCAAAACCCCATCATCAGCGGCTTCAACCCGGACCCGAGCTGTATCTTTGTTCCAGAATTGGGCAATACCTTCTTCTGTGCCACATCTAGTTTCCTCGCCTTCCCTGGTTTACCTATCTACGCAAGTCGAGACTTGATTCACTGGAAACATGTTTCCAACGCATTAAGTCGAGCAGATCAGCTGCCAGGTCTAGCATTTCTGCCAAAGGCCACCAGCGGCATGTATGCCCCCACGTTGCGCTTCCACGAGGGCAAGTTTTATGTTCTATGCACTCTTGTGAACCAGCAACTCCCGAGAACCAACGATAGTCGTTGGGACAACTTCATCCTCACATCGACAGATCCCTACAGCTCAGATTCCTGGTCAGATCCGGTCCACTTCAGCTTCCCTGGTTTCGACCCGTCGCCATTCTGGGACGATGATGGAAATACATACGTCTCGGGTGCGCACACGGCCGCATACTACCCAGGAATAATGCACGCGCCGCTCGACTTGGAAACCGGCGAAATCGGAAACGTTATCATGCCCTGGAACGGTACCGGTGGGCGCTCTCCTGAGGCCCCTCATATCTGGAAACGTGATGGATGGTACTATCTGCTCCTCGCTGAAGGCGGCACACGCGAGAACCATATGGTCACAATGGCTCGATCAAAGAGTCTAAAGGGACCATACGATCCAGCGCCGGGAAATCCACTGTTGACTTCTGCGAACGACACCAGCTCCTACTTCCAAGCTGTCGGGCACGCTGATCTATTCCAGGATGCGGATGGAAATTGGTGGTCAGTCGCATTGGCAACGCGGGCTGGTGGCACCTATGGCCAGGATCCTGGGGCATACTTCGGCAACCTGCCGATGGGAAGAGAGACAGTGCTTACACCCGTCACCTGGGAAGAGGGCGAGTTCCCAGTCTTCACGCCGGTCACTGGCGACGTCTCTGGCTGGCCTCTACCCACGGACGCTATAATAGAAAAGGGGGAAGGTCAACTCAGCAACGCGGACGATGTCATCACCTTTCCGCCGGGAAGTAGTTTGCCCATTCACTTCATCCACTGGCGTCTTCCAAAGGCCAGAAACTATATAGTCTCGCCACCGGGTCATTGGAATACATTAGCGCTGAAGTCTTCCGTCCTGAATCTCACAGCTTTCGACGCCGACTTTGCCTTGGGACGTGGTCAGACTTTCGTCGGACGGCGGATGGCTCACTCACTCTTCAAATTCCGCGTTGACGTCGACTGGGCAAAGTCACTTACAAAGGAAGAGATGGAGGTCGGTGTATCGATCATACAAGATCAAGCACAGCACTTTGATCTCGGCATCGTCATGCTGAGGCCGGAGGGGCGCGAGGATCTCCGACCGCACCTTCGGTTTCGTGGCATTTCGGAAACGCCGTACAGGGCAACTGAACATCCGCCGAACGAGGTTTACCCTCTTCCCGACGGCTGGGCCGGACAGAAGATCTCTCTCCAGATTGAGGCTGTAAACAGCACTCATTTCGTATTCTCCGCTGGCCTTGCTGGCCCCAGGCAAGACTCAAATGTCAGAGTTTTCGGGCATTGCAAGGGGACTGAGCTGGTCCCTTATTACTCTGGTGAAATCACACCAACTGAAGATAACGTGGATTCTTACTGACGAAGACACTATTAGGTTCTGTTATAGGCATTTACGCAACATCTAACGGGAAGCATGGAGAGCAGGCTTTCGAGACTTACATCTCCAACTGGCGGTACACTGGAATCAGACAGCTCAGGAGCCAGAAGGATGTTGATGATGCCGATAGCTCTGGGGTTTAGAGTGGTATGATCGAATCCTCCTCACCACTCGCGAGACTACCGTCAGGTGTTGTTCAAACTATTTCTTTGACAATGGATCCTGCCAAGAGTTACCCTGCAAACTATTCGTGTGGGAGCCGGAGCCACCTTAAGACCCATTTCTCCGAAGCAATCCATCATCAAGACGCAACATATGAAGTAAATCAATGCCATCATCGGGTGTAATGTCCACCCGTTTGCCCGCTCGGGGTAACATCGCGGCGGCTGCTAGGGCCTGGGAGTCCAGGTTCCACCGACGGCCCTCAGCCTGGCTCGTACACTGTAATAGTTGAATGCTCCTAGCTCCCCTAATCGGCCTCCTAAACAGATTTTCACGCCGACATACCTCGGCAGGTCCATCGATGTCGTTATAATACGCATCGGACTATTATCGCCCAAACATTAACGACCTCTGGAACTATCGGTCAAAGCGGGGGACCCTGAACCCTGAAACCACCAATACCACATTTGCAACCGATATCGTCGGTGAGCTGGTGTCGAGCTCGGGACGGTCGGACGCCAAGTTTGAAACATGAAACTCTAAATGAGGGTATATAAGGACTAACGCGTTTGCGCGGGAAAACTGTCCCCATGATCTGATCAACCTCGTCCAACGATAGACGCAGTCAGGTATTAAACGACGTAGACATAAACCTAATCAAACCCAAAGATGGCGACGGCATTCTTGATGGGCGGGTACAACTTCAAGCCCGACTCTGATATCCCAGACTTAACAGGAAAGGTCATCCTCGTGACCGGTGGTAATGCCGGCCTCGGACTGGAGACGATCCGGCAGATTGCAAAGCACAACCCCGCGCATATCTACCTCGCAGGGCGCTCGAAGGAAAAGGGAGAGGCTGCAATCGAAGCACTGAAGAAAGAAGGCTCCAGCGTTGCGCCGATTTCTCATCTGCCGCTTGAGTTGTCCTCCTTCGAGAGCATCAAAGCTGCCGCGAAACAGTTTAATGAGACTTCTTCTCGGCTGGACCTGCTCGTCAATAATGCTGGAATTATGGCGACGCCCGAGGGGCTCACAAAGGAGGGTTACGAGATCCAATTTGGCACAAACCACATGGGTCATGCACTCTTCACTCAACTCCTGATGCCCACCTTAAAGAAGACGGCGACCGAGAACCCAGACGTGAGGGTCGTATTTCTCTCCTCGGGCGCGGAAGGCTGGGCGCCCAAAGACAGTTACCAATTCGACAAGCTCAAGACCAAGATGCCCGAAACTCCCAGCCGTTATCGCTACGGGATATCGAAGGTGGCCAACATTCACTATGCTGCTGCCCTCGCCGAGCGGCACCCCGAGCTCAAAATTGTCAGTGTGCACCCGGGTGTCGTCGACACAAATCTGGCACAGTCCATTATCAACAAGTCCAACTTCATCTTGGGCACGATTGTGTACCTCGGCACTAAAATTGTAGCCGTCAGTCCTCAAAAGGGCGCACTCAATCAGCTCTGGGCGTCCTTCAACCCGGACGTCAAGAGCGGCACTTTCTACTTCCCAGTTGGCGTCACCGGTAAAGGTACGAGGTTGAGCAATGACAAGGACAAGAGGGAGGAGTTGTGGAAATGGACCGAAGACGAACTCCGGAGTCATTTGTAGCGGGATATCCGCAACTGGCCGAGCAGGAAAGAGACAACTCACAAAGACCAGTGCCACCAGTGACCGAAGAAGGGACTTCGTGTTTTTCTTTTTCCTTCTAGCGTAATGCGGAGACAGAAATAAAGTGTTCCAAGGACCGGCAGTTTCATGTATGTTGAATCTCCATGGCCAGAATCCGGTGGCTAAAGTGTGTAAGCTTGAATGTTGCTGCATGAACCACTACCAAGTCGGTTTTTGCTGCCGTTCGAAATTGCGCCGTGAGTTGGCAAAACCTACTCGAGTAGGTTAGATCCAATCCATAAGCCCACCATGAATCAGCATAATCCGACGCTAAAAGCAGGTGAGTCGCAAAGTTCGGAACCCGATAAAAAAGGAACCAAGGGCCCCCTGGTCCACGTAGATGACGGAAATGTCCACTGTCGGATCAAGCCCGAAGTTCACCCAAATTCATTTGTCTAAACTTGTCACCCACAAACATGCCCGTCTTGAGGTAATCCTAATTCGGGACCGATAATAGGAGGCCTGCTCGCCCCTAACAGCTTCCCGTCGGCTGACAGGGCAAGTTTACGCGGAAGTCCGTATCCGTCGAAAGGAGAGGCTCTGTCCCCACAAGGCAGGCGGCTCGTCGGTCCTCGCATGCTTGGAGTGCAATTAGGGCTTTAAGGTTAATCACACCACTTTCGGTAAAGCCCGGGCTCTCCGTTCTCGTTCGTCATCAAGTTCTTAACGAGACGACGGCGGAATGAGCCTCACGAAAGACAGGAATCAACTCTCGACAGGTTTTCGTAACTACTTACAACGATCAATGTTGTTGGCTGGAAAGGAACATGCCTTGTTGGAGTAAGTTGGCAGATGCATGTCGCCTTGTCACACACCTGCAGAATCCTTACCTCACCTCCCTTCTTGGCATTTATTTTCTATGGAAACTTCCCCTTTCAAACAGATTCACACAGGGAAACACTGGGTCAGCCGCAATTGCTGGTGGGTAAAAGACCGTGATTTTCTGGGGCTTTCTGGATCCCAAGAAGTCCATGATCGGATCGATCGGCAAGTCAAGCCTATGCCAAGAGGAAGCCAAGATGCCACTGAGATTGGGATACTACCTGAAGAGGCAGTTTCTTCATTGCCGCCACGCGTCGGGGGTGATGAAATCGACTCGATCAGACGGTCTAGAAGTCTTGGAAGGTGACCTCTGATCATGTCTCGGTATTTCGCTGGTAGGGCGACTTACACCGACTTTGGGTGTAGGTTCCCTTCAGCCCTGTTCGTCTCAAGTCCACAATGACCGGGTATGATCCCATCGTCAGACTTGGGTCATCGGATACTGGGCGACCGATTCGCCTAATATACTGCTCCCCACGTGCTAGCTTCGCGCCGCGGGCTTACATGATTTGAAGCTTAGATGATCAAAGCCAGTGTGGGGAGTCGCCTCCTCTTTTCGGTCCTTCGGGGCAACACTCCGGCGCTGCAAGGTCAGATTAAAGGTGGTTTTGAAATCATGGGCTCCTCTTAGCTCCTTCCAGAGACCGGGGAGATAGACAACGGTGATGCCGACTATCCGGCGTGGGAGCCGCACCGTATCCAGTTGCGGAGATCCAACGAGCCTCCAACGAGCTGCAACTAAATGAAAGGGGAAGAGGAGGTCTACAGATTTACATGTTCGACAACATCATATAAGTATCGTCTTTTCTGCCCACCTCTTTTGCTTCTATTCTCGATACCCCATCGTGCTTCTTCATTCACTCTCTTTTCAACCACATTCTTTTTTTTTTTTACCGACTCTAGTCTTTCATTCGACATTTCTGTACATACTCGGAAGTATCTCACGTGTTGATCACATACCAAAACAAATCAAGAAACGATGAAGTTCCTCTCCGTTGTCGCGGGCCTTAGCGCCCTGGCTGCCGCCGCCCCCGCCGAGCTCGACACCCGTGCCTCATGCACCTTCACCGACGCCAAGACGGCCATGTCCAAGAAGACCTCCTGCACCGATATCGTCCTCAACGGCATCAAGGTCCCCGCCGGCGAGACCCTCGACCTCACTGGCCTCAAGGACGGAACCAAGGTTACCTTCAAGGGCACCACCACCTTTGGCTACAAGGAGTGGGAGGGCCCCCTCATCGCCATCGGCGGTAAGAAGGTCAGCGTTGTCGGTGCTTCCGGCAACTCCATCTCCTGCGAGGGTGAGCGCTGGTGGGACGGCAAGGGAGGCAACGGTGGCAAGAAGAAGCCCAAGTTCTTCAAGGTCAAGATCAACGACGGTTCCATCTCTGGCTTGAACGTCAAGAACACACCGGCCCACGGGTTCTCCATCAACAGCGTCTCCGGCCTCAAGGTGTAAGTCGTAACTCAATGCAAGCTTTATGAAATCCACGCTAACTCATTGTTCTCTAGCTCCAACATCCTTTTCGACAACAAGGATGGTGACTCCAAGGGAGGCCACAACACCGATGCCTTCGATGTCGGTCAGTCCTCTGACGTGACCATCTCCGGCGCCAAGGTCTACAACCAGGACGACTGCCTGGCCATCAACTCCGGTACCGGTATCACTTTCGAGAACGGATACTGCTACGGCTCCCACGGTCTCTCCATCGGCTCCGTTGGTGGACGTACCGACAACACCGTCCAGAACATCATTATCCGCGACTCGACCATCGAGAAGGCCGACAACGGTATCCGTATCAAGACCATTGCCAACAAGACCGGTAAGGTCAACGGTATCACCTTCGAGAACATCACCCTGAAGAACATCAACAAGAAGGGCATTGTCATCCAGCAGGACTACGAGAACGGCAGCCCTACTGGCAAGCCCACCGCTGGTATCCCCATCACCGATGTCACCGTCAAGAACGTCAAGGGTACCGTCGCCGCCAAGGGCACCAACGTGTACATCCTTTGCGCCAAGGGTGCCTGCTCCAACTGGAAGTGGTCTGGTGTCTCCGTCACCGGTGGCAAGTCCTCTTCCGAGTGCTCTGGCATTCCATCCGGCTCCGGCGCCAAGTGCTAAATGCCCGATGATGGGAAACTCAGGAGCGGTGCTCCTGAGTTCAAGTTGCCTTGACTGGAAATTTTCAGGAAAAAGTTGCGAGTGATGGCCTGGTGACTTAGGTAGAGGTTGTGCTATGAGAGTCCCACTTGGGATCTCGTATGGCTTGTCATCGTTCGATTCTTAGATACCCTTCGCGGAATATATTTCAAATAATATTCACTTCGTTCAGTCCGTTGATGTGAATCAGAGAATGGTCGTGCCTGTATACTTGCGAGGCCTGTGAAACTCACAGAGCTGTAAGCTGCTTCCACTCACGTGCTGCGGAGAGCGGGTAGTTAAAGGACGATGACGGAGGAGGTGGAAGGATAGTGATGTAGGTGCAGTAGTTCCTTGCTCTTTCATTCGTAGACGGCGTCAGCCAAACAGACATGTCCAAGAGGCAGAGAATTAGAGGAGGGGAAACGGACGGATCAAGGGCATCGGGTGAGTAGGCTGGTTCCTGATGTAGACTGTGCTGGGCCCTAGGATCAGCAACGAGGGTACTGGATCAAATCGCATTTACGGGCAACTCTTTTTAGTAGAGACATCGACAAGGTCGTATGATCACTTTGAGCGGGCTTAAAGAGCCGTGGGACAGGTATAAAAACCTTTGCGGCATTGTACGAATCCGCAAACAAGTTTCACAGAGACGCTGTCGCTGGTGGCTTGGAATCGAGACACCAGGCACACAAGCAAAGTCCTTGTCCAATCAAGACGAACACACGATTTCTTATTGTCATACATACTCTGAGACCCTACATGCAGCCTGCCTCAAGATTGGACACGACGGTTCAAGATCAGCATGTGCGAAACGTGGCTTTTTGTTTGCTCATCTGTTTACTACGGAGTACTATAGACACAAATAGCTCCGCTCACTACCTTACTTTCTCATACTTCTCTCCGCACAACACAATCCGCAACTTCCCTCTCGCCTAATTTTTCTTGGCATCTGCTGTTAGTGAATGAGTGAGCCTACCACCAAATTACTAACAGCCGAAAACTCTTCACCTCCCCTTGCCGGAGCCCGCATCCGCGATGGCCTCACAGCCGCCGTCGGGCACCGGACTGATGTCGGCCGACCAAGCCGACCCCGAACCAGGCTCCGGGACACCTCCGGAGCCGAACCCCACCTCAAGAGCTAAGCGACGCCGCGACGTCGAGGCACAGCCGACCCGGCCCAGCCTAACGGGAAGCCAGCTTGATGCCACCACCGACGCCCCTACCTCGGCCGAGGGGCCCGCAGCCTCTACCGCATCTGCTCCGAGCGGATCTGCCACAGGGTCCGTCTTGACAGCCCTTGCAGAAGAAGCTAGACAGTACGAGGCACGGAAAGACGTCTTTCTGACCATTGCACGGTCCGTCGACAGCGTTGTCGCCAGCTTTGACGGTTCTAGAAAGCAGATCGCGAAAGAAGCCACTGCCTATGTCATTCAAACCCTCAAGAGACTGATCAATCACGAGACAAGCCCAATAGCGGCCCGGAGTTGGGCGGCTGTCGTCGCACCGATGGCGGGCAACACCACTGCGGCGACCCGGAGCGGCCAGAGCTGCCAGAGCTCTGCCCGCCCGAAGGCCACACTCCCCGCCGAGGATCAGCCGCAGGCGCAGCCGAAGGAGGACCTCCGCATCTTTGCCCGCGTCCCGGAAGAAAGCTTAGCGGCCGCTCGGAAGATCGCACCGTTCGCCGTACGACAGATCGTCTGTAAGGCCGTTGGCCTGGGGCTAGCGGACCTTCCCCACGTCTACCATATCAGCACAGGTTACTCTCTGAAGCCGCGAAACAAGCAAATACAGGAAAGACTACTTGCAAGTAAGGCAAAGCTGGCGGAATGCCTCGGCGCCCACCAGGTCGAGACGCCTATCAAGTGGTACACTTACGTTGTGCCGCGATGCCCAACAAAACTACACAGCATTGGCGGGGACGTCCTGGACCCAGCCACACTCGTTGAAGATGAGGTCTTCGCACAGACAGGACAGAAGCCTGTCCTTGCTCGACCGTCCCGCCTTGGGCCCAACCCAGTCACGAACGAAATATCTTGGCTCATATCATTCACATCAGAGGTCACGCCCTTCAGGCTCTTCAACCAAAGCGGCAGATCTCTGCCCGTCAAGAAACGAAGGACGCTCATCCGACACGACCCCGGCTGCCAGGGCTACCACTCCAACCGGTTCTGCG